TGCAGGGTTTGGGGGGGAGCAGATATAGTGAATGCGGGGTCCGGGGAGAGAGGATATAGTGAATGCGGGGTCCGGGGAGAGCGGATATAGGGAATGCGGGGTCCGGGGAGAGCGGATATAGTGAATGCGGGGTCCGGGGAGAGGGGATATAGTGAGAGCGGATATAATGAATGCGGGGTCCGGGGGGAGAGCGGATATAGTGAATGCGGGGTTTGCGGGGGGGGAGAGATATAGTGAATGCGGGGTCCGGGGGAGAGAGCGGATATAGTGAATGCGGGGTCCGGGGGGAGAGCGGATATAGTGAATGCGGGGTCCGGGGAGAGCGGATATAGTGAATGCGGGGTCCGGGGAGAGAGGATATATAGTGAATGCGGGGTCCGGGGAGAGAGGATATAGTGAATGCGGGGGGGTCCGGGGGGAGCAGATGTAGTGAATGCGTTCTCCGGGGTTTAGGGACACTAAGGTTGCCCACCCTGCTGTTCATTCACTTCTCATTGGCCGTCTTGTTTCTGTGAATTAGCGCTGTGTACATGGTGGCAGCCATTGTGAAGGTAAGTTGGAATACAGACTCCCCCCTCATCCAAGCAGCATCCTCCTCGGCAGGGAACGGCTGGCCTTCTTCTGTCTGATCGGATTGATGACTTTATTTATACATTTAGCGCTTCACCCATTCCAGGTTCTTCAATTATTTATTGTTTTATTCTTATGTCGGTGTCACAGATTTTCATTTTTGTTTTAGGATATTTAACTAGTTGGAGGTAAACATGAAGAGCACATTTATGTTATATTCTATGGTTCCGGAAAAGATAATCATCTGTTGCGTGGAGACGGCCGCCATGCTGGTCGTGGGATCTCCGCTGTTCCTTGCGTGCATTTTTTTTTTTTTTTTGGCTGAAATGGGGCCACAGAAATGAAGATGATTGTGAAAGCTGAAAAAGCAGAAATGTATAGAAATGTTGAATTGTAAGAGATCTGTAAATAGGATATTTACCAGTGGTCCCCAAACTGCGGCCCTGGGGCCAGATGTGGCCCTATGTTTACCTTTATAGGTATAATTCCTGCCACTGACACCAACAATGGGGCACTATTCTCCCACTGACACCAACAATGGGGTATAATTCCTGCCACTGACACCAATAATGGGGCACTATAGAACCTCCCATTGACTACCAACAATGGGGTGTAAATTCTGTCACAGACACCACTAACGGGGCACACCAAACAATGGGGTATAATTACCTGCCACTGACACCAATGATGGGGCACTATTCCTCCCACTGACACCAATGATGGGGCACTTTTCCCCCCACCTGACACCAACAATGGGGTATAATTCCTCCCACTGACACCAATGATGGGGCATATTCCTCCCACTGACACCAACAATGGGCACTATTCCTCCCACTGACACCAACAATGGGGCACTATTCCTCCCACTGACACCAATGATGGGGCACTCCCACTGACACCAATGATTGGGCGCTATTCCTCACCACTAGACCCACTGATGGGCACATTCCTATTCCCACTGACACCAATGATGGGGCACTATTCCTCCCACTGACACCGACAATGGGGCACTATTCCTCCCACTGACACTGACTATTCCTCCCACTGACACCAATGATGGGGCACTATTCCTCCCACTGACACCCAATGATGGGGCACTATTCCTCCCACTGACATCGACAATGGGGCACTATTCCTCCCACTGACACCAATGATGGGACTATTCCTTCCACAGATACCTCCCAATGACACAATTCTCCCCACTGACACCTAATTTCTCCCCTTAATATCAAAGATTGAGCATTTTTTACTCCCAATGACCACAGTCCGGCCCCCTAAAATCTGTAGGACAGTAAACCGGACCTTTCTTTAGAAGTTTTGAGACCCCCTGATCAGGGGCGGACTGACCATTCAGGCACTTGGGCACTGCCCGAGGGCCAAGGGACAGTAGGGGGCCCCATGAGATGCCCCTAGTTACCCTTCATAGCTTTTTTGGTGTGGTTTGAGTGTGGGTGATGAGGACACAGGGGCCACATGATCACCTATTGCCCGGGGGCCCCCGTGAGTTGTCAGTCCGCCCCTGATATATACCATCACTAAGTATACGGTGTGTGAAGATTAGTTGGCTGATGGTAAAATGAAGAACAAAGAGAGAGATTCGTCTTTGATTTTGTTTTTCCAGCAGAATACAGATTTATAAGATCACTCAGAGATATTCTAATACATTGACATCGGTTTTTAGGAAGGAACCTGCAACTGGCCTACTATGTGCAAACAAGAACCCCAGGTCTGGATATTTTTATACATGGTTACATTGTTTCAGCTTGAGCCTACTATGTATATTACCAGACCTATGGGATCCTCTAGATAACACCAGGGGTCTCCAAACTATGGCTCAGGGGCTGAATACGGCCCTTTGCACACTTTATCCAGCCCATTTGGGTCACTATTGTCCCTTCCACTGACACCAAATGATGGGTCACTAATTCCTCATCACTGACACCAATGATGGGTAGTCACTATTCCTCCCACTGGTACACAATGATGGGTCACTTATCCTTCCACTGACACCAATGATGGGTCACTAATCCTCCCACTGACAACACCAATGATGGGTCACTATTCCTCCCCCTGACACCAATGATGGGGCACTATTCCTCCCCACTGACACCAATGATGGGGCACTATTCCTCCCACTGACATCAATGATGGGGGCACTTATTCCCCCCCACTGACACCAATGATGGGGCACTTATCACAAACTATTTCCTCCCACTGACACCCCCAATGATGGGGCACTATTCTCCCACTGTGATACCAATGATGGGGACACTATTCCTCCCACTGACACCAATGGGATGGGCATCACTATTCCTCCCACTGACACCAATGATGGGGCACTATTCCTCCCACTCGATACCAATGACCGGAGGCAACTATTCCTCCCACTGATAACCAAACAATGGGCACTATTCCTCACCACTGATACCAATGATGAGGCACTATTCCTGCCCACTGATACCAATTGATGGGGGCACTATTCCTCCACCACTGACACCAATGATGGGGCAACTATTCCTCCCACTGACCACCAATGATGGGGCACTATTCCTCCCCCTGACACCAATGATGGGGGCACTATTCCTCCCACTGACACCAATGAATGGGGCACTATTCCTCCCACTGACACCAATGATGGGGCTAATATTCCCCCACTGACACCAATGATAGCAGGGCACTATTTCCTCCCACTGACACCAATGATGGGACACTTATTCCTCCCACTGGACACCAATGATGGGGCACTATTCCTCCACTGACACCAATTGATGGGACACTATTCCTCCCACTGACACCAATGATGGGTCACTATTCCTCCCACTGACACCAATGATGGGTCACTATTCTCTCCCCTGACACACCAATGATGGGGCACTATTCCTCCCCACTGACACCAAATAATGGGCACTATTCTCTCCACTGACGACCAATGATGGGGCACTATTCCATCCCACTGACACCAATAATGGGGCACTATTCCTCCACTGACACCAATGATGGGTCACTATTTCCTCTCACTGACACCAATGATGGGGCACTATTCCTCCCACTGACACCAATGATGGGGGCACTATTCCATCCCACTGATACCAATGATGGGACACTATTCCTCCCACTGACACCAATGATGGAGGGGCACTATTCCTCCCACTGATACCAATGATGGGGCACTATTCACCTCCCACTGACACCAATGATGGGGCACTATTCCTCCCCACTGATACCAATGATGGGACACTATTCCTCCCACTGACACCAATGATGGAGTGCACTATTCCCTCCCACTGATACCAATGATGGGGACACTATTCCTCCCACTGACACAATGATGGGGCACTATTCCTCCCACTGATACCAATGATGGGGCACTATTCCTCCCACTGATACCAATGATGGGGCACTATTCCTCCCCCTGACACCAATGATGGGGCACTATTCCTCCCACTGATACCAATGATGGGGCACTATTCCTCCCACTGATACCAATGATGGGGCACTATTCTCTCCCACTGATACCAATGATGGGGCACTATTCCTCCCACTTGACACCAATGATGGGGCACTATTCTTCCCACTGACACCAATGATGGGGCACTATTCCTCCCACTGACACAATGATGGGGCACTATTACCTCCCCTGACACCAATGATGGTGGCACTATTCCTCCCACTGACAACCAATGATGGGTCACTAATTCAAAAACTCCCCCTGAACACCAATGATGGGGCCACATATTCCTCCCACTGACACCAATGATGGGGCACTATTCCCCCACTGACACCAATGATGGGGCACTATTCCTCCCACTGATACCAATGATGGGGCACTATTCCTCCCCACTGACACCAATGATGGGACACTATTCCTCCCACTGACACCAATGATGGGCACTATTCCTCCCACTGACACAATGATGGGGCACTATATTTCTCCCACTGGACACCAATGATGGGACACTATTCCTCCTCCACTGACACCAATGATGGGGCACTATTCCTCCCACTGACACCAATGATGGGACACTATTCCTCCCACTGATACCAATGATGGGACACTATTCCTCCCACTGACACCAATGATGGGGCACTATTCCTCTCATGCTATACTTGACAGAGGGGTGGCTGTGGATGTTGGTATATTTGGACAGAGCGGTGGCGGTGGATGTGGAAATACTTGGACAAAGGGGTGGCGGTGGACTTGGTATATTTGGACAGGGGGGGGGGTGGCGGTGGACGTGTATACTTGGACAAAGGGAGTGGCTTTGGACATGGTATACTTGGACAGAGGGGTGGCGGTGGACGTGGTATACTTGGACAGAGGGGTGGCGGTGAACATGGTATACTTAGACAGAGGGGTGTGGCGGTGACTTGGTATACTTTGGACTCAGAGGGGTGGTGGTGGACGTGGTATACTTGGACAGAGGGGTGACTGTGGATGTGGTATACTTGGACAGAGGGTGGCGGTGGACAGTGGTCGTATACTTGGACAGAGGGGTGGCTGTGGACATGGTATGTCTTCGACAGAGGGGTGGGCTGTGGACGTGGTATAGTCGGACAGAGGGTGGTGGTGGTGGACGTAGGTATACTTGGACAGAGGGGTGGCTGTGGACATGGTATACTTGGACAGAGGGGTGGCGGTGGACGTGGTATACTTGGACAGAGGGGTGGCTGGTGGACGTGGTATACTTGGACAGAGGGGTGGCGGGGGACGTGGTATACTTGGACAGAGGGGGTGGCTGTGGACGTGGATATACTTGGACAGAGGGGTGGCGGTGGACGTGGTTACTTGGACAGAGGCCAGGGGTGGCGGTGGAGTGGTATACTTGGACAGAGGGGGTGGCTTGTGGACGTGGTATACTTGGACAGAGGGGGTCGGGTGGACGTGGTATACTTGGACAGAGGGGTGGCGGTGTGGAGTGGTATACTTGGGACAGAGGGGTGGCTGTGGACGTGGAATACTTGGGACAGAGGGGTGGCAGTGGACGTGGTATACTTGGACAGAGGGGTGGCGGTGGACGTGGTATACTTGGACAGAGGGGTGGCTGTGGACGTGGTATACTTGGACAGAGGGGTGGCGGGGACAGTGGTATACTTGGACAGAGGGGTGGCGGTGGACGTGGTATACTTGGACAGAGGGGTGGCGTGTGTGGACGTGGTATACTTGGACAGAGGGGGGTGGCGGTGGACGTGGGTATACTTGGACAGATGGTATAGGGGCGTTTGTGGACGTGGTATATACTTGTGACAGAGGGGTGGCGGGGGACGTGTATTGACAGAGGGGGTGGCAAGGTGGACGTGTATACTTGGACAGAGGGGTGGCTGGCGTGGTTATACTTGGACAGAGGTTGTATTCAGTGGACGTGGTACTTGGACAGTGGTGGGCGGTGGGAGATGGTATACTTGGACATAGGGGTGGCAGTGGACCCCCAAGGTCAGTGTTATACTTGGACAGAGTGGGTACCCAAGTGGACGTGTATACTTGGGACAGAGGGGTGTCGGGACCTCTGACGTTGTATACTTGGACAGAGGGGGGTGCTCCGTGTCTTTATACTTGGACAGAGGGGTGGCAGTGGACGTGGTGATTGGACAGTGGCGGTGGACGTGGTATACTTGGACCGAGGGGTTGGAACAGTGGGTGGTATACTTGGACCAGAGGGGGTGGCATGGGGTGGTACTGGACAGAGGGGTGCAATGTTTACTTGGACAGAGGGTTATGGAGTGGGGTACAACCCCAAGTTGGTTCAGTGTTACCACGTGGTATTAGTGGACAGAGTGGTGGGTAGTGAACAATCAGTGTGATTAGAAAACTGGTACCCCATACATGTTCAGTATGTGGTTAGTGGGGACCCCATAATGGGTTAGTTTAGCAGTGTTCAGTGGGGTACCCCAAGTTTCAGTCGTTATTAGTGGTGGTACCCAAGGTATGTGTGATTAGTGGGGTTACCATACATGATTTTCAGTGTGCATTAGGGTGTACAACCAAGTTTCAGTTGGTAGCATACACCAAGCTGTGCAGTGCATTTAGGGTTAATGGGGTACACCAAGTTTCTTATTAGTGGGGTACCGACCAAGGTTTGCAGTTTGATTAGTGGTGTACCCCAAGGTGCAATTGGGTGTACGTCAGCCCTATGGGCAGTTTGATTAATGAGGCCCCCCAATGTGTGATTAAATGTGTTTAGTGGGGGACTTCCAAGGCATCACTCGGGACCTTACTCTTTGTAATCTATATACATGCATTGGGGTCGGGGATCTCAGTCAGATACAAGCTGTGCAGGGGAATAACGTCCAACTACAAGGACCTCTATGCTCTGTGTAATTGGGGGGGGACTATGGTGGCCAATGAGGAAGCTTGGGCACTTTAAGAATAGAAGCATCTGGGGGGTCAATGGTGGAGAAAGGAGTTCTTACGGGGAGGGTCAATGGAAGAGAAGGATCTGGGTGAGGTCAATGGTGGAGGAAAGATCTGGGGGAATTAATGATGGAGAAGGATCTGGGGGTGTCCCAAGCTTAATAATGACATGCAATGCCAAGCTGCGGGTTCTAAAGCGAGCAAAATCCTCTCTTGTATTAGGAGAGGTATAGACTCCAGAGAGAGAAAGATATGCAGGTCAGTATATGCTTCCCAGTCTAAGTCTTGGAGAGCAGCTCTCAGCCTTGGAAAATTAGCTCTCTTAAAGTTGAGCGTTTTTATTTGTCCCGTATGTGCTCGCTGTTTACAGCTAACAATAAATGAAATCATGTTATGGTCACTGCTACCCAGATGTCCTTTTATATAGACATTCTGCATTCTGTACATAGCATCCTCCTGAACTCTGCACTCTCTACATAGCACCCTCCTGAACTCTGCACTCTCTATGTAGCACCCACCTGAACTCTGCACTCTACGTAGCACCCTCCTGAACTCTGCACTCTCTACGTAGCACCCACCTGAACTCTGCACTTTGTACGTAGCACCCTCCTGAACTCTGCACTCTCTACGTAGCACCTCTCTGAACTCTGCACTCTACGTAGCACCCTCCTGAACTCTGCATTCTCTACGTAGCACCCTCCTGAACTCTGCACTCTCTACGTAGCACCTCCCTGAACTCTGCACTCTACGTAGCACCCTCCTGAACTCTGCACTCTCTACGTAGCACCCTCCTGAACTCTGCACTCTCTATGTAGCACCCTCCTGAACTCTGCACTTTGTACGTAGCACCCTCCTGAACTCTGCACTCTCTACGTAGCACCTTCCTGAACTCTGCACTCTCTACATAGCACCCTCCTGAACTCTGCACTCTCTACGTAGCACCTTCCTGAACTCTGCACTCTCTACATAGCACCTTCCTGAACTCTGCACTCTCTACGTAGCACCCTCCTGAACTCTGCACTCTCTACGTAGCACCTACCTGAACTCTGCACTCTCTACGTAGCACCTTCCTGAACTCTGCACTCTCTACATAGCACCCTCCTGAACTCTGCACTCTCTACGTAGCACCTTCCTGAACTCTGCACTCTCTACATAGCACCTTCCTGAACTCTGCACTCTCTACGTAGCACCCTCCTGAACTCTGCACTCTCTACGTAGCATCCTCCTGAACTCTGCACTCTCTACGTAGCATCCTCCTGAACTCTGCACTCTCTACGTAGCACCCTCCTGAACTCTGCACTCTCTACGTAGCACCCTCCTGAACTCTGCACTCTCTACGTAGCACCCTCCTGAACTCTGCACTCTCTACGTAGCACCCTCCTGAACTCTGCACTCTCTACGTAGCATCCTCCTGAACTCTGCACTCTCTACATAGCACCTTCCTGAACTCTGCACTCTCTACGTAGCACCCTCCTGAACTCTGCACTCTCTATGTAGCACCCTCCTGAACTCTGCACTTTTTACGTAGCACCCTGCTGAACTCTGCACTCTCTACGTAGCACCTTCCTGAACTCTGCACTCTCTACATAGCACCCTCCTGAACTCTGCACTCTCTACGTAGCACCTTCCTGAACTCTGCACTCTCTACGTAGCACCCTCCTGAACTCTGCACTCTCTACGTAGCACCCTCCTGAACTCTGCACTCTCTACGTAGCATCCTCCTGAACTCTGCACTTTGTACGTAGCACCCTCCTGAACTCTGCACTCTCTACGTAGCATCCTCCTTAACTCTGCACTTTGTACATAGCAAACGCCTAGTATTTAATGCCCCTTTAAGAACTCCTCGCACCCATTTTCTGTGGAAGGAAAGGAGGTGGGGGGGAGTGGTTGTGTTCCTGCATCTATTCTCCGAGACAAAAAGCCCTGAAATTAAAATACAAAAGGTAGTCAAACATAAAGTTATACATAAATGTAGAAGGTGTTCTTGTGCTTTTGGGCCTTTCATTCTCTAAATCGATTTACTGGTCAGCTGTGATCTGTGCAATAGTTTGGAATAAGCGTCATGTTCAGTATGTAGTTAGAAATAGCAATGTAAAGGGCTGGCTGAGGGAACATTTTGTGAAAAACAAGAATCTTGATCGACATTTTGATGGAAAAATGAATTTCTTATACTAGTTCTCATTACTCATTGAGAAAACCAAAAAAAAAAAAAAAAAACAAAATCAGGGTGGAGATATCTTTTTTCACACCTTCACTGGAGGCGTCTCTCTGAAGCCCTCTAATGGGCTCGGTTACGAATGGGATCCTCCCCCACTCATATCTGTCAATTTTTTGAGGCATTTGAAGAGTATTTCTTATCAGTGATAACGACTCATTACATTTAGTTTCAATAAATAATTGTCTGTTTTAGATCATTTAGGTCATACATTTGTTTTTACTGTATATACAATCTACATTATATCACTATAGAGGTGATATTCATAAATAACATTTATTACCTTGATTTATGTATCCGTTATGCAGTTGAATTGGAGGTAGGTGGGGAGTGCGTACATTGCCTGGAGTACATGAAGCTGCATGCTGAGGACATTGCTGGAGGCTGTATTGTCTGAAAACGGCCAGTTTTGGTCGTCCACCAAAATATAAGTATTCAGAATATTGTATTGAAGGGTAGGGGCGTATTTATTGTGAAGCAAACAAGGCTTCTGCCTTGGGTGGCATTTTTCAGGGGGACGGCGCCGCCTCCCTGGCAGAAGGGACACAGAGGAACCGTTATGTAGGCTTGCAGCAGTCTCTACATACATGGGAATGGGTCCGATCTGCTGGAGGACGGGTGGAGAGGGTGTCCAGTGTACTACTCTATAGAGATGGACGCAGCTCAACCGACCCCAGGAGTCCAATGTTAAGGAATGTTAAAGAATGGCCTCAGCCACTGTTCTGGCCACGCCCTCTGATGTGTTTTCTCCCCGCCCACCTGGGGCTTGGTTACAGAGGTTGGTCGGGTGCAGGGGCGGACTGACCAATCGAGCACTCGGGCGCTGTCCGAGGGCCCGGGGTCAGTAGGGGGGCCCATGAAATGCCCCTGGTACCTTTTATAGGCTTTTTTGGGTGTGCTTTGAGTGTGGTCAAGGACACAGGGGCCCCATGATCCTCTATTGCCCGGGAGCCCCATGAGTTGTCAGTCCGCCCCTGGTTGGGTGATCCTTTTCCTTCCATCCACAGCTTGGAGCGGAGCCATACGGTATACTTTTCATAGCGTCCTACTCTAGTCTCGAGTCGTTTCCGGCTAGATCTCTGGCAGATGCCATGCCGCAATGTGGGTGGGATTTTCCTTCTTCTGGCTTCCAACCAATTCGCTATTGCCACTGACTCTTGGCCCAGCTAGGCCCACTCTGCCTGTCTGCCAAGCGAGAAAAGCCGGCTCCTCCCTTCTTTTATCCGGCAAACACCCCCGGGATCACTGAGCGACCTAGGGCGGGGCCTCCTCTCCTTCAGCAAGCTCCTCCTCCTGACCGGTGATTGACAGACAGATATTCAGGGCACGCACACAGGCCAGAGCCTAGAGAGAGAAAGGAGGAGCCCATAGGCTGGACGAGGAAGGAGCCTTTGCTGATCGGTGATGGCGAGTGCTGCCTGGGAGCGGCCAGAGCTCAGCTCAGCCCATTGAGAGTGCAGGGATCCAGGTAGAGTGGAGCGGAGGGACGGGTGCCATCTGTGGATGGGAGAGAGCCCGGCCTGAGGGGGGGAGGGAGATACTGGCTGGTCATGGTGTTTTGAGTGCTGCATGGGATCTGTAGGATGGAAATGGAAGCAGTGCTGCATTGCACAGCTCCTCCAGGGCAGGCATGTTGATGATGCACCACAGAACTAGCACCTCCTCATGGCCATCTGCAGTGACTTGGCTGCCATCCTGTGAGACAAATTAGATGGGGGGGTGGGGATGGGGCACCCAATTTTAGTCTTGCCTGGGGCAGCACAAAACCAAAATACACCACCGTTGAAGGGACTGTTCAATATAGCAAAGTATCAGGCGCTACTACCCCACAGAATAACAAAGGTCCTTCTATCCCAAGGAGTGCGCGATCCTCAAATGCATGGATG